TTCTCATTATGTACTAGATATAGTATGGAACATCTATAAATAGAATAGAAGAGTCATTTTACTCCATTTTAGTTCTTAAAATGCTTAAATACTAAAACGCAACACAAACTTGTTATTACTAAATGTAAACTCTAATCATTGATCTATAAACCCAAACAGAATCTATATAATATGCTGTAAGTATCATATTTACTATACATAATATGAAACATTTATAAATAGTATAGCAGGAACAATTTACTCTATTTCTATTAGCTCTTATTGTTCTTAAATACTAAAACACAAAAAAACTACTTACTAAATCTAAACTCTAATTACTGGTCTATAAACCCAAATAAAATCTATATAATATGATGCAAATTTCTCATTTTTTACTACATATAGTATGGAACATCTATAAATAGAATAGAAGAGTCATTTTACTCAATTTTAGTTCTTAAAATGCTTAAATACTAAAACGCAACACAAACTTGTTATTACTAAATCTAAAACCTAATCACTGATCTATAAACTTAAACATAATCGATATAATATGCTGTAAATGTCTCATACTTACTATACATAGTATGGAACATTTTATAAATAGTATAGCAGGAACAATTTACTTTATTTCTATTAGCTCTTATTGTGCTTAAATACTAAAACACAAAAAAACTATTTACTAAATCTAAACCCTAATTACTGGTCTATAAATCCAAATAGAATCTATATAATCTGATGCAAATTTCTCATTATGTACTACATATAGTATAGAACATCTATAAATGGAATATAAGAGTTATTTTACTCAATTTTAATTCTTAAAATGCTTAAATACTAAAACGCAAGATAAACGTGTTATTACTAAATCTAAACCCTAATCACTGATCTATAAATCCAAACATAATCTATATAATATGGTGTAAATCATGTCTCAAACAATCTACTTGGAAGACCTAAATCGTCCATGTCAAACCTGAATAACAAAGTAAGAGGAAAACATGTATGACAGAGTAATTCATTATATTTTATATAGAAAATAATCTTTTTATATCTCAACAGAACAATCGTTGATAAAGAATGGTAGCACATAAGTTACAAATCGTCCAATACAGTCTAAAGTAGAATAGTTTGTCAATCGATTTCATCTCAAATAGAATAGTTTGAATATATAGTTTTTCTATTCAATCTCAAATAAAATAGACATAAGAGATCTCACACAGACAAGTTGTGTTACATATGTTATTCCATACAACAAGCTATATTACTATACTATTTACTATGTATCTCCCCTAAATGCAAAATTCAGATTTAACAACGATAAAGAACAACCAGGAAATACAAACCCTAAATCATGATAGATAGAGCCAAATTTTAATAACAGATCTGTAAATTTAATCTGTAAAATACATGATAAAGTTATCAATTACAGAATCCTAGTTCCCAACAACTATGAAACAGAAGAGAAAATAACAGGAGATGAAGAGAAGGAAAGGTAAATAGCGGAAAACTTACGGTGGGTGAAGAGATCGGAGAAGAATCGACTTTGAGAAGTTGGTTTTACACAGGTTGTTCACTTAAGTTGTTGCGGAGTGATGACCGTCGACTTTGCGTCAATTTCACCATCGGAGTAAAGGCTGAAATTGATTAGGATGAAGGAGAAGTGAAAATACGAGGAGAAAGAGGCGGAAGAGGCGAGAAAAGTGAAGACGGTGTGGAGACGTTTTGCTTTATTCAGATATGTGAAAAGAAAATATGGTCAATGGTAAGACACGTTTTACAATTTTACAGCTAATAAATATCATAAAGGTTTTTTTCTGTGCAAATAACACCCGTTGCCGAGAAGGAAAAAATAGTATTAATATAGAAATATAACGGCGTATGAATGTTTGTTAGGGTTATTGACTATTTTTCCAATTATACTTTTTTGTCTGTTTATACAACCCAATTTCCCTTTTTTTAACGACTTCGTATTCTGAATAAAACTTGCTCTATATCAATATGTGTGTTACATTTGTAAACCAAGTGGTCCTATTATTAGTTTATATACTACAAAATTAAACCAAGCCAATACATTAATTAACACAAACCCGAAATAGTGAGTCACCTGAAATATCTCTCAATCCTTCATCTATCATTTCCCGTTAATGAATAATATTTAAAGATATTTTATTTATATTCTTTGTCAAATTTTTAATATCATATACTCCATAATTTTTAATTAAATTACACATATTATTCTTATTGGTTTATCTACTAGGTATAAGTATAACATCATACTTGATAACAAACATTAATATGAATGATATTCTAATATTATATTATTATGTTATATTTATATTAATATCTAATATTGATTTTGATGGTTTATAATGCTTAGAACAAAAAAAAGTTGTATTGGTACATTTACATGCTTGAAGTTTATTTTCTTTATAATTTTAGTACTCCATTTTTAGCAACATCAAGTTCACTTGTAGAATATACCTTTTGTAATAACAAATGTTTCAATATTTGTGTACATGATTGTTTTAAATATTAAATAAAATAAATTGTAGATGTAGATGTTGCAATATTTTTATAGATAAAGAAAAATAAATACCCGCACGAGTGTGCAGATCAAACTCTATTTTGTATTTTAATATTCCAAGAAAAATAAGAAAACGATAGATAAGTAATTTTAATAATATTTATAAACTAATTCATTATAAAAATAAATCTAAAAATTTAATCAATTTTTTTTTAAAAAATATCAGTTATTTACCTTTTTACTCTTAATGTTAACTTAAGTTTTTCAAATGTAGTATAATAGTTTATATTTTAATATTTATTATTAAACTATCAGTTTTCTATATTTTAAAAATGTATTGTTTCTCATAAAGTGAACATCTTATATTATTTTTCCAACAAAAATTCGTTTTTATTTTACTACTGATATCACATCTTTATAGGTGCTTTGTAACAAACAAGTGTTTATGGGTAGTGTTTAATAGTGAAATCCAATAGGAAACATCTCAGTTATTGGGCGATGGTGATTGTGATAGTCTCAACCACCATTTTCTCTTAAATTCTCAACCGAGAGTACTTGATCCATTAATTCGCTTTAATAATGAGATCTTTTTATTCTATTTTGAAACTAATTACTCCCTCTGTTCCTAAAAGATCCATATTCTAGTTTTTTCACACTTTTTAATAAAACACAATAAATTTGCATTGTTTTTTGTATTTATCTTCTTTCCATAATTTTTAGCCAATAGAAAATCAATTAGTGCAATTAAGTTTTTTGAAGTTTACAATTAGTTAATAAAACATGCATTGAAAATGTAAAAAATGGATCTTNGTTCCTAAAAGATCCATATTCTAGTTTTTTCACACTTTTTAATAAAACACAATAAATTTGCATTGTTTTTTGTATTTATCTTCTTTCCATAATTTTTAGCCAATAGAAAATCAATTAGTGCAATTAAGTTTTTTGAAGTTTACAATTAGTTAATAAAACATGCATTGAAAATGTAAAAAATGGATCTTTTAGAAACAAATTTTTTTTCTAGAATATGTATCTTTAAGGAACGGAGGGAGTATTTGTGTATTTATCTTCTTTACAATGGAGAAGAGTTCAGAAATTAACCATAACGTATTTGGGGTGGATCATTTCATCTTTCATTTCGTTGTTCTTATCTCCGACATGGAATCGGTGGCGATGATCAGCGACAAGACATTCATCATGTTTATGTTCAATTCATATTTAAGTGGTAAGACACTTATTCTATTAGTTTATGATTTGAGTATTATCATTATGTTTATTTCATTTTCAGCTCCACAGAGGTCGTAGTTGACTATGTGTTGTATATCAGATATTTCTATCTTCCCCTTCAACTTCTTCTATGTCTAACTGGTACTTTTAAGACTATGATGTACTACTATGTAATTATCATAGCTATAAAATCCCATATTTTTACTAATATTATATATGTTTACTTATATAATATTATGTATGTTCACATTAACCATATAATTAAGTATAATGTGTGAGTGGTAAGCTAATATTATAGTAAGACGTGATTAGACTATATTTGAAAATGTTATTAATGATGTGATTATACTATACCTGAAGAAGTTAGAACACAAATAGACTTACCTATCTCCAGATTATGTTTATGTATAATTTAAAAATGCTTTTAATATATGTATATTTCTTTAAATAACCATTGAGTATTTAGTACCATTATGTATAATTAGGAAGACCACAATTATATTGGTATTACTATGTGTATTTGGAACGATTAGTACAATTTGATTATATTATGTATAATTGGAACGATTAGTTTATATATTTATTTTTGTTATGTCCATTTATATATCTACATAGTGAAGTAGATATCAAAAGAATTTATATATATTTATAACTGATCGAATTTTTTTTATTTTCACATATTTTTTCTTAATATTTCTATAGTTAGTGTATGGATTATAAGACTATAGTAAACTGAATCAAACAATTAACATATTTCCATATAAACATGTAAGATCACTGGTTCAACTACAAAACTTTTCACATGGTATAATTATTTAAACTTGAAATTTGTAGAAGTATCACTATGTATGATAGTACTACTATCTTAGAAACTAGTACTAAATATAATAATGTTAATATTTGGACTGTATTGACTCTAGTTAAATTTACGGGGTGTTCTTTAACAAAACAAATATTTATGGGTAGTTGTATAAACTGAAATCTATATAAGAAACAACTACAGTAGAACCTCTATAAATTAATACTCGATAAATTAATATACATTAAATATCTTTATAAAATAATATAATTTTACAGTCCCAAATTGAATTTTTGGTTCGATTAGTATATTTTTAAATTAATAAAAAAATAAAATTTATGTATACTCCTAATATTATTCATTTATAGAGGATTCATGGTGTATGATGGGCCTTAAATGTATACAATATTGATTAATGGCCCAAATAACAAAAAAAACTTCGGATATATTGAATAGGTTTTCGTTTTCGTCATCGTTCGTCGTTCGGATTGAATTTTAGGGTTCGAAGATGACGATGAACTCGCTTCCAAGGAGATTCGGGAGAGATCAAGGATACCTAGATCGAGATCGCGATCGAGATCACCGTAGAGGAAGGAGATCCGGTTCAGAATCCGACGAAGAGCTGAAAGGATTGAGTCACGAGGAGTACAGGAGGCTCAAACGCCTCAAGATGAGGAAATCCGGTGATTACTGTATCTGGGACAACACGCCGAGTCCGCCTCGAGATCCGAACCAGGTGGATTCCGATGAGAACGCCGACGACGACGAGGAGATTCCGGAGAAGGATGTACGGAGAGGCGAATCTGATTCTGGTAAGTCGGAATCTGAATCTGATAGGTCTAGGAGGAAGAGAAAGAGTAAGAGATCTAAGAGTAAGCGTAGGAGATCGTATGATAGTGATAGTGAATCTGAATCTGAAGAGAGTGAGAGTGATGATTCGGATGAGGAAGATAGGAGGAGGAGAAGTAAGAGGAAGAAGAAGAGAAGTAAGAGTAGTAGGAAGAGGAGAGGACATAGGAGGAAGAGGAGATACAGTGATTCTGATGAGAGCAGTGATGAATCTGAGATTAGTGCTTCTGAGGAAGAACGTAGCAAATCAAAGAGCAAGAACATTGATTTGAAGGGGAAAGTTGAAGAAGCTGTGAAGGAGCCTGAGCTTGATGAAGAGGAGATGAAGAAGTTCAAGGAGATGATTGAGTCAAAGAAGAAAGCTTCAGCGGAAGATGAAGAAGAAGCTGAGGTGGGGCCAATGCCGTTACCTAAAGCTGAAGGGCATATTAGCTACGGAGGTGCTTTAAGGCCCGGTGAAGGAGACGCTATAGCGCAGTATGTTCAGCAAGGGAAACGTATCCCACGTAGAGGAGAAGTGGGACTTAACGCTGATGAGATTCAGAGGTTTGAGGATCTTGGGTATGTGATGAGTGGGAGTAGGCATCAGAGGATGAATGCTATTCGTATCAGGAAGGAGAACCAGGTTTACAGTGCTGAAGATAAACGGGCGTTGGCTATGTTTAATTACGAGGAGAAGGCTAAGAGGGAGGCTAAGGTTATGGCTGATCTTTCGAGGCTTGTGCAGCGTCATATGGGAGAAGAGTTGGGTCCGAATCATGACCCTTTTGGTGCTGGGAAGACTGATGGAGCTGATGATTGATTTGCTTTGTTTTGCTTCTGCTGCTTATGTGGGTACTTGTCTTATGCTTTTGTTCCTTACTGCATCATAGTTACTGTTTGTTTGCTACTTGCCCGTTAATGAGTATGACAGTTTTAATTTGCTATGCGTGTATTGCGTTTGTGTTTTTAAATGAAAGATTCTGACTTTAAGGATCTTCAAGTGTCCCTGCGCAATTTGCTTGAGCTTCGTAGATTATAGATTATGGTTGTGTGTGTTTATATGACTTATAGATAATGAGATTCATAGTTTATACGCTTAATTTGCAATGTGTCTATCGCGTTTGTGTTAAAGACGAAAGATTTGGTCACTAGGGATCTGCAGCTGTTCCTATACAATTTTCTTGAGTTTCATTGATTAGTATTGTGTTTTATATGGCTTATAGATAACGAGTTTCATCGTTACTTTATGCGTTTTATTTCCTATGGGTATCGCATTTCTTATGGGACCTTCAACTGTTCCTGTGCAATATGCTTGAGTTTCGTAGACTATAAAGATTATGATTTTGTGTTTATATGACGTTGGACTTCGGTGATTGCTTGTGCAGCGTCTTATATGAATGTGTTTGTCTGTTAAAGATTGAAGATTATGGCTTTAGTGTTTTACAGCTGTTTCTAGATTAGGACTTAGCTAGGATATTCGATTTATGTCGACTTAGTGGCTTATCAGATGCACGAAACAAGACTTTTAGTTCTTGAAACTTTTCAAATGGTATTATGTTGTTGGTAACCGAGTCATCTTCCTCATGAGCTAAGATCTTCTTATGCGACATGAGGGGAAGTCTTTGTTGTCATGTCATCATTGTCACCATTGTTATCACCATATTCTATTTCTGGAACTGTGAAACAAACAAATATATATATTATTGGGATCTCTACAATTATCCAGTGCAATAATAACAAATTTCCGAAATTGCTGGCAGATATTATTGAGTTTCAATAATAGTTTATGATTCCACTTTTGTGGAACTATGCAGTGGCTGAATCTTTTCTCAATAAGTGCAATATCTTGTCATCAGAAGACCCCACCGAGAGTACCTGGACAATATTCAATTATTCATTTTCGAAAAACAATTATAAAAAAAACATTAGGATATAAATCATCTTGGTTACCCTTGAATAATATCGATTAAGGCAGAGAGGAGGGAGAGAAAGCGACACTAACATGTTCTAATTACTATTGCTGTCAACTTATTACACATTTTAGAAAGAACAAAAAAAAACTTATTCACTTCCTGCATGAACATAAAATAAAGTCACGTCAAGGTCACTTTCCTCATTGCACGAATAATCAAAAAGAAATTTGACCAAATGCATTTCTTCTACACCTAACTCGCTTTCAATATGTGTTTATGAACAGTTAATGAAGTAGTTAGAATGCAATTAATGTAAATGAAGAAAGATACACAGGAGGGTATTGCTGTAATTTTGTCCCAGCAGAATCATCAAGTAACTGTGCTACTTAAAAGGACAAGTGCTCTGTTCCTCTCCCTTCTCTCTCTCTATCTTCTCTCTCTCTTTAACCTCATTTCTCAGATCCGTAGGATCTCTTCGTTTCCATGGAGGCTTAAAAACTCTTAATAGATATTCCCTTAACAGATCAGTGAACCTCTAGTGTATAACAAATCATCTTTCTCTAAAATTCTCTGTATTTTTCTCTAATCTTCACCATCATTAGCCTTTTTCTCCAGGTGAGTGTGTGGTTAATTTTTTGTTACCTTTGCAGGATCTTCTCTTCTGTTTTCTCTATATGTGATGATTAACTCTTTTTTTTTTCTCCATGTGTTTGTTGTATGCCTGCTTTCAGATTTGGAGACGAGCTCAGACTCTGTGATCTTCTGGTTGAGAAAGAAGTTAAGCTGTCTTGGTTTTGATTAGATACAAAAAGTGATCTTTGGGGTGTAGTTAAGAAACTAGGTAGTGAAAAGCTTATCTAAAAATGGGAACTCTTATCTTAGCTGAAGAACATAGGAACCAGTACTATTACGAGAAGAAACCTCTAGGTCTAGGCCATGATGGTTTTAGACCATCTCCTTCCAAAACCTTCAGACAAATCAATTGCAGAACGTTCCATTCTGGAGTGGGTTTGCTTCGAAACCCACCAAAGAGAACTCACTCTCCTCCTTCTCCTAAGTCAGTTTTACCGTCGTCTCTAGACTGCGTTAGAACCAAGCCCATCCCTATTGGCGAAAGGAGAAGCCTTTCTTATTACTCTGAGCTATGGGCAGGACCTACTTACTCCAACTCTCCTCCACCTACTTCAGTTCCCATTCCTAAGTTCTCTCTCCGTCAAAAGAGGACGGTCTCTTTGACCTTTCCGGCTCCTGACCTTGATGTTGATCTTCCTGAAGTTGCCAAGTCTGCTCCGGTTTCTCCAACATCTTCTGGTGGTAACCCTTTTCATTGTACTGTCTCTGCAACTATGACGCTGCGTCGCATCCTCAATATTGAGACTGCTGATGAATGAAGATCAAGGAGTCTTTAGGGGAACAGGGGGTTTAGGGTTTAGTTTTGTGCATATATAAATAAGGTGGTTAGTCACCAAAGCTGGTTTGAGTTTGTTTAATATGGGAAAGGAACACAGAAGCAGTCTTGGCTCAGAGTTGGTCAGCAGTTACTGGAAATCCTGTGCAGATTAGAGGTGTTACTGATGGTGGGGCAGCTGGTTAATGAGAAGACTTGATTCTTGGTTTAGCATATAGGATGGGTAAAAGTTTACCAAAATACCATGGGTGATTGATAAGTTCATGTGGTGGTGGTGCCCTTTGTATAGTTTCTCTTTAGAGTCAGTCTTTGTCCCTTTGGCTTCTTTACTTAAGTGGGTTAGATAGCAACTAGGTTACTGTTCTTCCAAGTCTTACCTTTTGTTTATAACTCCTTCCTTGTCCATATCTTTTCTTTCTTTTAACCCTTTCTCTACTTTCATGTCTTGAGTCTTATCTTCCTTTCTATTTCGTTTCTGCCTAGCCTTAGAGAAGTAAACCTTTCTAGTCTTGTTTAGTGGTCTTCCTATTCAGCTCTTTTCCTGATTTTTTTGTAAAGGAAGAAGGGAATAGGAAGTTCTTTCTTGTTACTCTCTTAGACTATCTCTACTGGTTAAGATTCAATTCTGATGAAAGAGGATACTTCTTCTGAAGAAAATATAGTTCTCAGGTTCTTCTTGATCCCACCTAATCTGCTCACCAGGTAAAATATGCAGCTCTTTTTAACTCTCTCGTTCAGCCTATGAATCTGAATCTGAAGCTTTATACAAGTTTTATGGGGTTTGTAACAGGGACCTATAGAAGCTGCTTCTCCGCTCTGCTTTTGATGCTTCATCGTAGTTGCTTTGTCTCTCTTGTCTTTGGTTATGTTGCTGTGTTTACAGTGACAAGTATTGTCTCTACGTATGTTTTTTTCTTGTCTTTGTTTGTTGCTTGTGACAGTGTTGTAGACGTTTTACTATCTTGTTTTGAAGGAGATGTATCCCTTGTTCCCTATAATTATTAGCATCTTTCTGTAGGGTTTTATTTATCGTTCTGTATGGCTTTAAAAGCTTTCAAAACAAATAATACTTAACGGCAACAAACAAGTTAGAAAGATAGTAGAAAATGTTAATATAAGTGGCGATCTTTAAATGGAGCATGCGTCAGTTCAGTTAGAAAAAAATAGTAGAAAATGTTCAAGTCAGATTCTTAGTTTTACACCACAAATCCGTTAAAGGCCCATTGGGCTACGTTCAGTTCCTTAGTAGGCTTTTTGCTTGACACCTCAGAACCATACAACTCCTTCAATCACACAAGAGAAAACACAACCTCATCACAAAGTCAACGCCATGCAATAAAATCAGACCAGAACCAAAATACAAACAAGCCACCAACACCTCAGAGAATTTTCTAAATGTTAAAAGGACAAAAATTTTAATTACTTTTAGTTATGATGATAAGCTAAGGTTACTATTAGTGACAATGTCAAGAAAGAGAAGAAAAAAACAAAAGAAATAGACGTTGGGGACCGACTAAAGAGGTTGTTAAAAGATGATCATTGTCCGAGAGCTCTATATAAGTTTGGTTTCTGAGGACACATGATGGTTCATTATTACAGTTGGGCCCAACCGCAACAAGAAAGGAAACTTTGGTGGCATTTTCTTCCTTTTAGCAAATAACTATTCAAAGTGTACAATGTACCGACAAGTTGATATGTCAAAGCGGCACATATTTTTAATTATAAATTAATCAACAACTGTTTTTTTTTTTAATAAAGGCTTCGTTTAATCAAGAACTTTTATGGATAATTTATTTAAAACATATAATGAAATTTTCATAACCGTGGTCCGTGATTTAAAAGAGTTTTCTAGAGTTGATACTCTTTTTAATTAGTTAATTAATGTAAAAGGTAGGGATGGCAATCAAAGACTTGGACCGCGGGTCTGACCCGTAAAGGCTTGCTGCGGGGCGGGATTAGGTCTTCATTTTATAAGCCTGCAAAATTGTGGACCTCGCGGGACATGTTCAAAATGGGACGGGCCGAATGCGGGACGGGCTCAAAACGGGACGGACCGAATGCGGGACAGGTTAATCCGAGGGATTTTGAAGACCCGCAACCATAAGTCCCCATTTCTGTTTGGTTTTGTTTTCAGTACTATAAATTGCCTTATTACTATGTGGAATTTTCTTGTTTAAGTTGATGAGTTTTGTTTTCAATATTGCCAAGTGGTGTTTTAAAAAAAATTAAATTTTGTTACAATGATGCTGTTAAAAAGTTACTGCTTGTTGAAGAGCTACTGTTTGTTCTTTAGACGGCTCGAAATGAGAGTTTGGGTTACTGCAGAATCTTGTCTTACACCCTAAGTTCAACAGCTTGGTTGAAAGAGAAGAAGAAACCATTAGTATTAAGTTATTGTTGCTATGAAGAGACGTTACTTTACAAAGAATTAAACAAGTAATATTCTTGAAAGAGTTAAATTTTACTGTCCAAATGACTCTCATTTACTTCAAGACCATTAAACCAGCGAGTGATCACATTGGATGTTGTTGCGATCGATGTTGTTCAGCTCTCTTCAATTTTTTTACTCAACTCTTCTACTTTAATATTCATGAAGGAAGTTGAAGGAGACGCCCTGCGGGACGACCCGCGAAGGCTTATAAATTATGCGGTACAGAATTGAGTAGCTATTCGAAAGACCGCAGCCCGCACGGAACAGGCCCGCCATGATCCGCTCAATGATGAGTCCGCTGCAGTACGGGACAGAACGGGACAGGAAATCCTAATTGCCATCTCTAATAAAAAGTCTCCTCTCTTTATTTATTTTTTGACAAAATGAATAAAGCTTAATTAGTTGATAAAATTTGCAACTGGTGAAAGGGTTAGCTATAGACTATAGTTATTTGTTTATTACAAGCTATTTAATGGCATGTGATCAATGGCTTTTCAAAATTAATTTAATCAAATACACGATTCAAGTAATTATTATATTTTTGTCGATCTTCAGACGGTTGCCATCAAAAGTGGTAGCCGCTAAGTATAATATATGTATGCATTTAATTTCTCCCTTTGTTTGTTAAATAGATTTATGTAATGTTCAATATTTGTGAACCATGTAAAGTAATATTTGTTGACCTTTTTGTGTCTCAAATAAACATTTTTTTAAAAATTGGTCTATTTATATATTCTAAGTCAGAAGAAAAATTAGTAAGCTTCAAGGGAATTTGCATGTTAAAATATATTTGTCCAAAAAAAAACAAAACAAAATATTTGAAAAACATTTGTAAATTTCAACCAAATCAAACTTAAATATTCTCAAAAAATCAACTTAATACTAGAACATGACTGCCATGACATGAATAGATTGCGCGTGGGTGTGGTGTGTCCAACGTGGACAAATATAAAAGTGTACCACAAGTGGGACCCAAAGCTCCCTCGGCTGATACGCATACGCGTCTCTGACTCTCTGTGCCTTTCGCCTTTTCCTTTTTCTGATTCTATTATTTCTTTTCTAAAAGATTCTCTCTTTTCCTCTATTTGTTTTTTTATTAAGCCAAAAAGAGTAGCATGAGTTGTTTTATTCAGTAAATAATTTAACTTATTTGATTCATCCCCCAAAAAGTTTCTCCAACTTTACTTAACTAATATATATTTTAACTAATTTATTTTAATACTACTTTTATTTTATATTAAGTGGCGTTGTAGGCAAAAAAATTGTTACAAAAAAATCGTTTTCTATTTTTAGTGTAAAATTTATTAAATTATATTATAATTTATTTTTCTATTGGTTAAAATATAATTAAAGATATAAATAATTATGTTTTATATTGAAATATATAAAATCAATTATTTTTTAATCTGTGTGCACAAAACTAGAGTGACATTTAATATGTAACGGATGGAGTATGTTTTACATAAAAAAATTTATGTTAAAACACAAAAAATTATGTTATAGGATATAACTAAATTTTACAAATTTTATATGTAAAGTAGAACAAAAATTCTAAACTGCCATGATGCCATCTAATTTTGTATATTACAGAAAACTTGGCAATGCTGAAACTCATAAGAAGAAACAAAATCCAACCTGCCATCTAATTTGTGTACAGTATTTTAGAAAACTTGGTAATGTAGCATTTAATTGTTGTAAGAAACTTAATACACACAGGCCTAATTCATGGCGGAAATTAACATTAAATCTTGTTTTAAATAAAGCGTAAAATCACATTAATCTAGGAAGCCAAATCTCCCAAGCAATCCCGAGAACCGCATGTTAATACGTGCTTAAAGGGTACTTTCGTCATTAAGTAGTTATATCTTCATTCTCTCTCTCCTAAAGCCCACTTTTAATAACCTAAAACAACAAAACTCTTTTGTCCAAAAAAAAAAAAACAAAACTCTTTCACACATAAACAGAGTATAAACGCCGAGAGAGAAGGAGATCTACGCGAAGAAGATATTATGCGACGAAAATGAGGAAGCCGAAACTATACTAAGTGAATCTAAGAAGAGACTAAGCGCGTGCTCTTTAAAAAGCATCTTTGATCACCGACGAGCGATTTCGATTCAGTTTTTTGTTTTTTTTTGGGTACGAATTTTGACTTCAATGCTATCTTCAATTCATTTGATAGTTTTCGGATCATGATTTTGGATATGTTTTTAATTATAATTCGTGTTTTCATATTATGACTAGAAATGTGTTCTTCTCTAGTGAATTTAAGAGCGTTTGATTATTTATTTATGAGAATTGTTATTTTTGAGAATTGAGATCATGCTTTTAGCTATGTGATCATCTGATTTTCTGACTAATAACATGTTCTCTGGTTTTAAGAGGATGAGATTATATATTATATGGTAATCATATCATATATAATCTCATTAGTCTGCCTGTTTATTCTTCGATCGATCTCTGATTATTTTCACTTTTATTAGGTTGTGAGAGAGCGTGAGACGAAGGAACTTTGGTGTACACATCTTTCTTGTGTTTTTGTTTGTAATTAAAAAAAAAATGGAGGTTGTGGCAAAGAGTAACTCGAAACGTATGTATTCATGGTGGTGGGATAGTCACAATACCCCCAAAAATTCTAAATGGCTTCAGGACAATCTTGCAGGTACGTTTCTCGTTAACGGTAGACACATCTATTGTTAGCTTTATGTTTTGTTATGGCCTATGAAAGAGCTTGATTTAATCTTCTAGCGAGACATTTTAGTATAAATCTTAATATACAGTTTCTTCACATTTTGGAGGCGATAAAGTCTATGTATATTAGCTCTTTTAAATTTGGGGGCCAAACACTTATGTATAGTTATATATCATACTCTATGATCCAGAAAACATGAAAGTTTGATTCTTTTGACACAGATATGGATAGTAATGTGAAGAAAATGATCAAGGTTCTTGAAGAAGATGCAGATTCTTTCGCCAGGAGAGCTGAGATGTATTACCGTAGACGTCCTGAGCTTATGCAATTGGTAGAAGAGTTTTATCGCGCGTATCGCGCATTAGCGGAAAGATATAATCATGCAACAGTCGTAATCCATAAGGCTCATCAGACTATAGCAGAATCGCTCCCAAACCAAGTTTCCTTCATATTTGGTGATGAGTCACATGCTGGTGCTTTGGCAAATGACGGTGACCCACAAACACCAGATATGCGTCCTCCTATTCGAGCTCGGGGTGACCCGGATGAGATGCAAACAGATGCTTTATCTCATGTTCCGTTTGGGAGTAATGGAAAAGCAAGAAAGGGACTGAATTTTGATGATGTTTCAGAATCTGAACGAGCTAGCAAAGCTGAGGCTGAAGTTGTGGCTTTGAAAGAGTTCATTTCTAAAATGGAGGCTGAAAAGGAAGCTAGCTTAGCTCAGTTTGAGAAGAGTTTGGAGAGACTCTCAAATCTAGAATCTGAGATATCTCGTGCACAAGAGGACTCAACGAGACTTAATGACAAAGCTGTGAGTGCAGAAGCTGAGATCCAAATACTCAGAAATGTCATTGAGAAGCTAGAGTCTGAGAAGGAATCCAGCCTTCTTCAATATCAGCAATGCCTTCAGAGGATAGCTGATTTGGAAGATGGTATCTCTGTAGCCCATAAGGAAGCTGGAGAAGTAAATGAGCGAGCCAGCAAATTTGAAGCTGAAACTCTCGCCTTGAGGCAGAGCCTTGCTGAGGCTGAAACTGAAAAGGAAGCTGCTCTGGAGCAATACAGGCAATGCTTGACAACAATATCTAACTTAGAAGAGAGACTGAGTAAGGCTGAGGAAGATGCATGGGCTATCAATGAGCGGGCTGAAATGGCTGGTGTAGAAGTTGAAAACTTGAAGCAAACAGTCTCCAAATTGATTGAGGATAAGGAAGCTTCAGAACTTCAGTACCAACAGTGCCTGAATATAATTGCTGATCTAAAACTTAAACTATACTCTGCTCAAGAAGAAACCAAAAGGCTTAGCAGTGAATTAGAGGATGAAGTTGCTAAACTGAAGTTTTCTGAGGAGAAATGTACTGTGCTTGAGAGATCAAACCAGAATCTTCACTCGGAGCTGGATGGTCTTTTGGAGAAACTGGGGAATCAAAGTCAGAAGCTCACGGAGAAGCAAACAGAGCTGGTCAAACTGTGGAGTAATGTACAAGAAGAGCATTTGCGTTTCCAGGAAGCTGAGACCGCGTTTCAAACCCTGCAGCAATTGCACTCTCATTCTCAAGAGGAGCTAAATAATTTAGCCGTGGAGCTTCAGACCAAGTCCCAAATCATGAATGACTTGGAGATCCGAAACAATGAGCTGCATGAGGAAATTCAGCAAGCCAAGGTTGAGAACAAAGGTCTCAATGAGCTCAATCTCTCTTCGGTAGCATCAGTGAGAAGTCTGCAAGAGGATGTCTCAAGTTTAAAGCAAAGAATACTAAAGCTTGAAGCAGAAGTTGAATTAAGAGTGGAGGAGAGAAATGCTTTGCAGCAAGAAATATATTGCCTTAAAGAGGAGTTAGTCCAAGAGAGATACTCAACTTTAAAAGAGAGTAATGAGATAGAAGAAAGAAAAATGATGGCACTTGTAGAGAAGCTGGAAACTATGGAAAAACTTGTTCAGAAAAACCTTTTGTGGGAAAACTCTATCTCAGATTTGAATTTTGAGTTAGAAGCAGTCAAAGGAAAGCTCAATAAGTTGAAGGAAGCTTGTCAGTCACTTTCTGTAGAGAATTCAGGTCTTGTTTCTGAAAATCATCACAGCGCCATTGAGAACATCGTCCTGGTTGAGTTTTTTCGACAGGTTAAATCAGAAGCAGAGAAGAAGGGGATTGAGAGTACGGCAAGGAAGACGATTGACAACTTAATAGATGCAGAAACTGAGAATTTGCAGTTGAAGAGAAACCTCCTTTCTATCAGATCAGCCAAAGATCATTTAGAAGATGAGGTAGCTAATATGAAGGATCAGTTGCATGAGAAGGAGAAGAAACTTGAAGAAATGAAAATGGAGGTTTTCAAAGAGAGGGGTCAAGTTGAATTGTGGGAGTCTCAAGCTGCAACATTCTTCTCCGATAAAGAGGTCTCAGCAGTACACGAAACATTGAATGAAACGATGACTCATGAGGTAGCTGAAGCCTACAACAGTCTTAAAAGTAGAAGCGCATCAAAAGATGTGGATATGGACAAGCGTAGAGGAGCCCAAGCTATTGTCTTGTTGAATGAAAGCATTAGATCTTTGGAGGATTATGTTTTCGTTAGTGAACTTTCAAAGGTAAGCTATCTTAGCCATTTATCTCCTAAATCTCCATTTGAATCTTGTATAAACTGATCTCATCTCTCTTACCAGGGAGCTGAATCAAAGAATGAATCCCCCAAGGTGGAAGATATGTGTCTGAGAATCAAAGCTATTGCAGAGGCAGTAAAGGAGAAGGAAAAGCTTTTGATGCTTGAGAACTCAAACGCCTACTCTATGCTCGAGACAGCACTGAAACAAGTCAAAGAACTAAAAACCGGTAGTGGAGGAAGAAGCATGAGGAAGCTGCAAGAAAGAGGAAGTATCAAAACTCGGAAGCCGAGTAACGAAATCGAGATTATAACCAAAGATATAGTCCTTGATCAAACTTCTGATGGATCATCATATGAGATCACAAGCAAGAAAGACACCTTGGAGCTGGATAGCCACAGTTTCTTCGAGTTAAAGCCGGTAAAAACTCACAAGACAGAAACAGCAGTTAAAGTGAAAGCCAAAGGTAAGTCTCTGTCTGAAGAGTCATTGATTGTCGATAAACTAGAGATTTTCGATGGATTCATGGATCCGAACATAGAAGTAAACAAGAGGAAAGTTCTAGAGAGACTGGGTTCTGATTTAAAGAAGCTGGAGAATCTTCAGATCACTGTAAAAGATTTATCAAACAAAGTCGAAACAGAGGAGAATGAAGAATACGCAACGATCAAAGGTCAGCTCAAAGAAGCAGAGGAAGCAGTAGAGAAACTGTTTAACGTGAATCAGAAGCTGTCCACGAAGGTTGAATCAGAGAAGGATGGTAACAGAAGCAGGAGGATATCTGAACATGCGAGAAGAGGTTCGGAGAAGATTGGGAGGTTACAGTTGGAGATACAGAGGATTCAGTTTCTGTTGATGAAACTTGAAGGAGAAAAAGAGAGTAAAGCTAATAAGTCTAAGGTCTCAGATACTAAGTCTAAAGTTCTTCTAAGGGATTACATCTATGGTGGAACAAGAAGTGTTTCAATGAAGAAGAAGACGAAGAAGAGGACTGCCTTTTGCGGCTGCGCTCAGCAGTCACCGTCTCCGTGAAGGTTATTGTTACTTCACTCGCAAGTAAGACAAGTTCTCATGTGAAAAAAAGTTTTAATTTAACAGCGTTATGTTTTTAAACGCAAACGCAATAGTAGTAGTAGTGAAAATTTGAATAACAGACTCTTAGCTTTTCGACTTTATTGTTGGTGAAAATATAAATGTGAGAATTCAATTTGAAACCTTTAAACGTTGTTAAATTCCGGTACACCACCGGAGATTTTCTCCGGTGAGTCCGGTTTAGCTGTGTGGAGCATGAAATCGCAGGCTGAGACGGCTTCTGCTACTGTGAGATGAATCCAGTCTTTGCCGATGGTCTCAGTGAACTTGGACTTGCTTAGCTTCTTCATCACCTCTGCTCCAGGATTTGCAACCAAAACGTAAAATTTAATAGATGTTTGGGGACTTAATATGTAAGTAAAAGAAATATATTGGACTTATATAGTAATAAACTAATAACCTTAAGCTCTCTTCGTCCCAGTACTATGTTGAGTTCCTCAAGCATGTTTATACCACTCGTGCTTGCATGTTCCTCAAGCATGTTCCCCACAGCTAAAAACCATATAACATAATGCTACATGTTAAAATCAAGATTAAGATGTTTCATAGTTTGGATCTAACATTTAAACTGAAACAAAACTTATACGTCAACTGATTATGCAATGGTTTTGAAAACTAAAAATTAAGCAATCAATGTCAAAGTTTAGGTGAGTTTCTTACCACTCAAATCAAGTATGATGTATTGTATAGGGCTGAGCACAAATACTCGTTACTCGGTTTGTACCCGCTACTTGACCCGTACTTGCCCTTCAAATCAAGTACTCGCAGTAATCAAACCAAGTAAGAAATATCTCAAATAAAAAATTTGCAAGTACAAGCCAAGTATCAAGTCTTTAAATAAACTTAATTACTTGACTCGTTTATACTTGTTACTCGTTCTATTTTTTTTTTAGTAACATTGGCATAAGTTTTTATAAATTCTTAATATTAATCTATCTAAATTTAAAATTAAATGAGTCATGTTTTTTTTTAATCGGCATATTTGTCTCGTTTTGCAAAATAAAGTTCTCGACATTGTTAAATAGGATAATAAATCAATAGATCTTATTGTTTACAAATGTAAATCAAGTATCAAATAGATTTATACCTTGTAATATTTTTATCATTACTTGTTTTTTACCTATTGCTCATTATTCATTTATAAACAATTCTCATTATTTATTTAACATATTTTGTCTTTTATTTATATTGTATCTGTAATCAGATAAAAATTAGCTTCCAATAATTTTTTTGAAAAAAAACATAGCACATTTTCTTGTATGCGTATTTTAAATTTTGAAGTAATAATCTACTCTATTAAAATAGAGTCATTTTTTTATCTACTGATACAAGTTTTCATTTAAATTTGGATCCTTTCTAGAGTGTTACAAATAATACAAGTCATATAGTTAATTGAACCGTATTACTTAAATTAAACCGGTTATTATTTATGGGTATAGTTTTGGGCTTACTTTTGTTTTTAGAATAAATTATATGATTTGGGCTTAATATTAAGAAAAAACTCCAAAAACATTGAATAAACTTTCCACCTTAATGGATCAAAAAATCAATTATTTTTTCAGGCCCAAAAGGTATTTAAGATTTTTAACAAAACAAAATTGTCTATTATTAATCATTTATTTAAATCATGTACCTAAAAACATGATAACGTATTTTTTATTTTAAATAACAATCCCTTTTTTTGATAAATTTCAATGGTAACTTTTAAATAATATATTGTTTTATTTTTCTTAAATAATTTACTGATTTAAAAAAAAATATAAAGCAAAACCAAAAACTAAATCTAAAAACTAAAATCCAAAACCAAAAGTTGAAAACGCAGGTTATATTTTTTGTTTTTCTTTATTTACAAAATAAAATATTGCAATTTAAAAAAGAAAAAGTTTTTGTCATCTTTTCAGTTTTAAATTAGATATTCGATTATTTGGGATTTGTTTGTTGGTAATATCAGTTTAAACTAACTCAGCGGATCTAAAAATTAAAAACTCAAACCAAAAGCTGATATCAAAAATAGAAACTTAAAAACTAAAACCTAAAAAATCAAAATCTAAAACAAAATCTAAAAGTAAAAATTGAAACTAAAAACTAATGAAAAACAATCATCACCATAAATTTTGGTGAACTGATTTTATATCAAAACATTCTTTAAATTAAGACAAAAACCTAATTATATAACTTTTTAATCATAAAAAAATTTCCGCGCTTTTAAGCGCGGGTTAAAATCTAGTTCTTTTTTATAAACAAGTACTTGATTTTAGCAAGTAACAAATCAAATTAAGTAATTCGCAAGTATTAGTTTTTCTCCCGAGTACTTAATGTGGTAAGTACTTGTTTTAAACAAATCAAGTTTAAGTCCTGAATATGAATACTTGAACAAACCAAGCCAAATACCAAGCCTCCGGAAATTGGCAAGTACTTGGATTGCGTCCACCCCTAATATTGTAGACTGTTTTCTTCACTCCTTATCAGTTTCTCTTCCTCTTCATCGATCCACCTTCCAATTCTAGCAAATCATTGAGCATAAACACAACCTTTATTTGTGTAATTCACGTAAGAATAGCTAAGATTTGATAAAGATAAAACTATTATAAAGTAAATAATAATAAACCTATCTCGCAAGTAGCTAGTTGGGGAAGTAAATAGGAGTCAGACATCTAGAAATAAGAAAATGAAGTTTTCTATTAGATTAGATTTGTGTTTTCCATATTTCACATGTTAAAGAGAATTGTCTTGCATATAAATAGAGATCTATGAAGAGGTGTTCCATAAGATCTAAGAGAGTATTCCATAAGAAATCTAAGAAAAACATTGAAAGCTTTGAATAGTTTCTAAAACTAAGGAGAAAAATTGTTTTTATAATTATTTGTTTGTAGAGATTTAACTTTTGGGTAGTCCTAGAGATACTTGGCCGAGTACTAGGGATATTAATTTTAGTTGGGTGATGTAGTTTCACTTCCTTGGGCTAGAGGCAGTGCTCGTGAATTCATCCGCAGGTATGTGTCAGAGAATCTTCATCGTTGGATAGATCTCTCATCTTTGGTTACAAACAAGAGTTGAAAGGTACATGTCACCTACGAGGGGAATGTAAATGTAGATGCGTATAATTTCCTTTTTGATAAACATGCAGAATATAGAGTAATCTTATTATGCTCCGGTTTACTCACAGATTTTCAACCCAAGAGAAGAGAGATATATGTTTCTTCGATGTTTGAATAGATGAAGACACCTCAAAGAACGGTGATATGTGCGCCAATACTCGTTGCAGTAAAAAAAAAATCTATGGAAGTGAACTTTTCCATGGAATAAATATAAGAAACTGAAACGAATAAACATCTTGCCTCCCTGGCGTTTTTTATTACACTACATTTTTATTTATTTATCTCGCTAGACCTCTCTAATTAAAGTATAAGGCGCATTCAATAGAGCAAATGTATGTCTCCGAGGTTCCAAACAACTTGAGGTTTATAGGGTACATGCAGCGAGACTTACACACGCTGCAAAATGGGCGTGTAACACTATCATTGAGAACCACCTCAAGCGATCTGTTCGGAGACTTTGCTATGCTTCTTGGCATGAGTCCTGCAAAGTCTCCGAGCACACACCTTGTATGCAAGCTAGCCTGTTGATCTTTACACGTGTAAAACCAGTTGTTTGGATTGATTTCTTTCTCACAAATGTCACACCAGTATATACCACTTGCCCCTTCTTCGCCATAGCATAGTGACAGAGGATGATCGTCTACTCTGTGCTTTACCACTTGTGGTAAAGTGGCGCATTCGAAGTCCAATACAAATCCACAATCACCTTCAATGCACCTGAGCACACGATATTCCCAGCTGTTGCAACCATTGCATATTTCCTTATTATCTATAGGAAGGTAATATAAGGGATGGTGAGGATGACTTGGATGGACAAATGGCTCGGAAATTGAACCACACAAAACATCTAGTTTCATATCCCCGTCCTTGTACATGAAACCATTGTACGTTCGACCGCAAGCAAAACAATCAAAGACACCTAGCTCCTTGTTTGTAACTAAAGTGAGCCGGTCATTGTGTAGCACATGCCGTTTCTTTTTTGGACATTCAGCACAGTTCTGATGGAGCGAAAAATCACAATCAATACATCCATAAAAGGCTTGGAGACCGATGGGATGGGTGCATGCATTGCATCGTTTTTTATCTTCATACAAAACACCATTCCCATGGATTCGTCTTAGGTAATGCTCATTGTGGCTGAAATGTTGTATTGTGTTATCATCTATCACCACATATGGTTCTATATTTTCTTCTTCTTCAGGTAGTCCCTCAAGTTCTTCTCCATTCCATACATCATCTCTAGTAGCACATTTAGAATGGACGACATAGCCAGGACACCTTTGACAAGAAAACCCTCCACAAGTCCAATCCACCTTCTTGCGACAAACTCCGCACACAGAATCCACAATCCCAAGAACAGAGGTACGAGAAACACGGTGATCATGGCGATTGATGTTAATTACACGTGGAAGGCCAAGACAGTCTTGATGGATCATGAAACCACAATGAAAGCATGCATAAGGGCTTCGAACTCCCTTGAGCCCGCAAGCGTTACATGTAAAAGAATCGAGTCGTGGAAGAAGGGTGAGTTGGTGATCATGAGCTTTCAAATCCATAAGAGATTGTGGTGGTGGGTTCAAAACACAAGGCATATCCAAGGTGAAATTACAAGAAGAACAATGATAAAACAATTCTTTATCAACCTCTCTTCCGCATAAACGACATTTTCCATCAGAATAGTCTGGTGGTGGACCCGTGAAGAGCATAAGAGGATGCAAGGAGTGGTAAGAGTGGTTTACCTCTTTTGGGTGTTTTAGATCTAGTGTTGGGTGCCATACACAATCCACATGGAATGCTACATCACATTCATTACATTTGTATGGAAAACCATCACCACCTTTTCCGCATTTAGCAGAACAATCAATCCTGGTCCGTTCCTTGAGAAGTGTGAGCTTGTGGGGGTGCATCTCGAAATTGTCAGTAACCTCTGGTGGTGGGTACTTGGCACAGTGTAGATCCACGATGAATATACAACTCATACAGCCGTAGAATAGATTCAGGATTCTCCTTCCACATAAACGACAAAAAGTAGAACCAAATTTATCTCGAAGCCGGAGAGTGTGATTGGGGTGAGCTGGGTGGTCAATGAATTCAGAGATCTCGTCGCCACATTTCTTGTGCACGAAAAAATCACAGCTGTTACAGTAGTAGCCATCACGCTGAGGCACATATCTTCCACAACAATCACCTTTCCTCAAATCATTCCAAGGTAGCAGAGGATGCTCGTGAAACAATGGTAACGGCACTCCGTCAGATTCCATTTGGTCGTATACGAAGAGTTAAGAGGAAAATATAAGTAATCTAAAAGTTAGATCAAATTTCAACGCTAGGTTAGATCGTTGATCTCAATGGCGTTTTTATAAAGTAATATAGACTTATTTTCATATCTGACTTTTGGAGGTCATTTTAAAATATTATCATTGCTGATTAGTTAACTATATTTAGGACAGAAACTGACAAAACAACTAATGGGGAATTTTTTTTTGTGTGTGGAACTTGTCATTATATGGGATGGTGGCAAGTAAAAATAAGAAGTGCTCAAGCTGTTGGATTCGTATATTGAATATTAAATATTTAATAATCAGCTATTCCAAGGTATTTGTGAGAGCCTAATCGTATAAAGTCTCAAATACCACCTGGTACAGAAGTTACGGCTTATGTCGTTAGTTTGGTTTCACAAAATATGTCGATCGTTAAATAAACTTCCTGATCTGTCAAACACTAAGCCTAGGGTAGAAATCTAAACATATCGCAAAAAGCCATCTTGATATGCTCCAGAGTAGCAGGAGTGTCCAAAGAGAACCATTTACTGCCAAGACCCCACTACAAGAAAACACGATAAATTCTGATGCAGGTTCTGACGGACATAAATGTCGTCGGACAATTTTGACGGTTTTCTGACGGAATTCCGACGAAAACCAAAAATTAAATTTCGTCGAAATATTCCGACGAAATTCCGACGAATCGTGTTTCGTCAGAATATACTGACTAACTTCCGACGACTTTTCGATCAATAATATAACCGTTAAAATCGTCAGAAATTCGTCGGAATATCCGACGACATTCTGATAAATTATATAACCGTTGTATTCGTCGGAATGTCATCAATAAATTCCGACGAATTTCCGACGAAACTTTTGACCGTTACATTTGACCGTTGAGGTAACCAAATTCCAACGGATATAACCGTTAGGACGTCAGAATTCCGTCAGAATGTCATCGGATTGCCGTAAGCAGTTTCCTATAAATACAACCTCTCATCATTCAACTCATTCACTCCTCACTCTCTCTTCACACTTTCTAAGCACAACAATTTCTTGAAAATCATGTCTTCAGGAGTTTATTATCGTTCGTGGATGGATAAACCTCATATGGATCCCAACACCAATATACTTACGGAAGAATACATTCAAGGGATTGGAGAATTCATGAAGCTTGTTCAACATCAACCGGATGCAAAAGCCGGTATGTTAAGATGTCACTGCTCTACTTGCAATAATAATAGGATTATAAAAGAATTTGATGTTTGGGCTCATTTGTATATGAGGGGGTTTTCATGTAATTATAAAGTTTGGTATCTTCATGGGGAAACTGGTTTTGAATATGGTAGTACTAGCGAACCTCAGCCTGTTAGCGAACCTCAGCCTGATATTAGGTTAGAACCTCAGCCTGTTAGCGAACCTCAGCCTGATATTAGGTTAGAAGAACCTAGAACAAATATAGATTATGGTGTAGGTACTGTCCAGATGGTACATGATCATTATAGAGGGGAAGAAGAACCAAACCCATAATCTAGGAGATTTTTTAACATGTTGGATGCAGGAAAACAACCTTTGTATAAAGGTTGTAGAGATGGTCATTCACCCTTATCTTCTGCAACTAGATTGATGGGTATCAAGATAGACTATAATTTGGCTGAAGAATGTGTGGATGCGATTACTGATTTTGTCAAAGGTATTCTACCTGAGGATAATCTTGCACCGGGTTCATACTACGAGGTTCAGAAACTTGTTGCGAGTCTTCAACTACCGTACAAAGTGATAGGTGTATGTATTGACAACTGCATGATCTACTGGGGATCGGATAAGGAACGTGATAAATGCAAATTTTGTAGGAAACCTCGTTATCAGGAGATGAGGGGAAGAGTTCCAATCCCGTTCCAAAGGATGTGATATTTGCCTTTAACGGAAAGATTGAAGAGGTTGTATCAGTGTGAGCGCACAGTAAAAGCAATGAGATGGCATGCAGAGCATTCCACAAATGGTGAGATTAGACATCCTTCAGATGCGAAGGCTTGGAAACATTTCCAGTCAACGTATCCAGAATTTGCGGAAGAGAGAAGAAATGTTTATCTTGGATTAGGTACTGATGGTTTCAGCCCATTTGGAAAGAATGGAAGACAATATTCTCTATGGCCAGTTATTGTGACACCGTACAACTTACCGCCAAGCTTGTGCATGCAACGAGAGTTTTTGTTCCTCTCAATTCTCGTCCCCGGGCCAAAGCATCCTAAGAGATCACTAGATGTGTTTCTCCAACCATTGATACATGAGTTGCAACAACTATGGGCGCATGGTTTTGAGACATACGATATTTCGTGCAAAAAATACTTTTATATGCGGGCAGTAATTATGTGGACAATAAGTGACTTTCCAGCATATGGTATGTTATCCGGATGGACAACACATGGAAGGCTATCATGTCCATATTGTCCATATGACACATATGCTTTCCAACTAAAGCACGGAAGGAAAACGTGTTGTTTTGACTGTCACAGAAGATTTCTACCACCTCATCATCCATACCGTAGGAGTAAGACTTTGTTTACGAAGAACAAGCAGGTGTTTGATGGTCCACCTGAGGAAGTTAGTGGGGAAGATTTGTGCAAGCAGTTGAGGGATTTTGGTGCAGATAGGACGCCACATGTAGGTGGACATGAAAACATTCGAGTCGATCCAGTTGGAGAGCTACATAACTGGCACAAAAAGAGTATTTTCTGGGATCTGCCATATTGGAAGGATCATCTATTGCGGCATAATTTAGATGTCATGCATACAGAGAAGAATTTTTTCGACAATCTGATGAACACAATCCTTAACATCCAAGGTAAAACGAAGGATAATTTGAAGTCAAGGTTGGATTTAGTCGATATCTGTGATCGTTCTGAACTTCACGTTGATGAGAACGGTACGGCTCCTTTTCCCATTTCTCGGCTGGATGGTGCTGCAAAAGAAGAGTTCTTTGATTGGATTACAGATAGAGTGCAATTTCCAGAACTGGGTTGATAGAAGCGAAGGAAATTTACTGGCTTGAAGAGTCATGATTGTCATGTAATTATGCAGCGTCTCCTTCTGTTTGCTTTTTCCGCACTATTGCCACGTAATGTTCATGAAGCAATTGCAGGTATCTTATATTTTACATTTTAATTGATTTTTATATTTAACATTAATTATTCTTATATAAACGTAACACTTAAGAAAATTTTGTCTTTTATCTATGTAGAGATAAGTGGTTTTTTCCGGGATTTATGCACCAGAGCAGTGACTGAAAAGGGTATTAGTAATCTGAAGGCAAACATACCAGTCATCATATGTAACCTCGAGAAGATATTTCCTCCAACTATCTTTGATGTAATGGAACATCTTGTTATTCATCTCGCAAGAGAATTGAAACTTTGTGGTCCTGTGCAGTACCGATGGATGTATGTTTTCGAGCGTTATATGCATCATCTGAAGAAGATGGTCAAAAATAACATCAGGGTGGAAGGATCTATAGTCGCGCAGGTGATCAATGAAGAAACTGCAATATTCGCTGAAAACTATTTTCCATCAGAAGTGCATACAAGAAACCGAAGACTTGCTCGGCATGATGACAGAGGGGAGAGAGCAACATATCATGTTACTGTCCCAAGCATGTTCAGAGAAATAGGACGACTTAGTGGAAAACCCACGAAGCGGAGACTTACGGAGACTGAGCACGCTCATTTGCAAACATATTTGCTCAAACTGTGAAGATGTTCTACAATATGAGAGGTAAAAATAGTCATTCATTTAAATTGTTAGATTAATATTCAATAATTTTATTTCCTTGATAATTTCTTTTTATATGTGTTTATATGGCAGAGTTGCGTATGACTCACAGGCATGCGACAGAAGATGAGCTTCAACAACTCAGACATAACGGATTTGCTGCATGGCTTCTTAGATATGTGAGTCATATATCATATTACTTTATGCATATCATTAGTTTATATTTAATTTAAAGTAAATAACTTTTCACTCATATATGTTTTTAATTTATAGGTGAATGATGGTTTGGCCAGAGGTTTTGTGTTCGATGATTGGATACGTGAATTTGTGCATGGACCAAACTATGTGGTCAGATCATATCCAAAATATTGTACGCGAGGATATGCATTCAGAAGGAAAGGTCATTCTAAGACAACATATGATGCTGGTGTTTCGTCTACTTCCGGTGACGATGTCTACTACGGCAACATAGAAGAAATATTGGAAATCCAGTTTCCTGGTATAGTTGGATTGCGGTGTGTAGTATTCTATTGTGAGTGGTATGACACCACTCTAGATAGAGGAGTGAAGACTGATGCGTTTGGTGTTACATCGGTTCATTCACGGCCGAAACTTCAGTATTATGATCCCTTCATTCTTGCTTCACAAGCTGATCATGTATGTCAATTTCTTCATAATTAATGGTTTATATTTTACTAATACCTCGTATAATTGATAGGTGTGCTACATCAGTTACCCTCGAGTGACATACAAAGACGATCCATGGGTTACTGTAACGCAAATCAACCCAAGAGGACGAGTCGATGGAGAAAATGAACCATTACAATCAGACTCTACTAGTAACGTGACTGCAGTTGAAGATTTGGCAGATGTTGAACTTGTTGAGAATTTTAACGAGTTTGGACTTGATGCGGTTGTACATTCAGAGGACGAAGCTGAGGTTGGAGAGTTTGATGAAGATTCTGAAGATTCTGATTAGGAATTCTTTTTACTTGACATGTATTTATTAGTTGTAGTACATCTTACATAAGTTATTTTTTATTATTATTTTTTTTTTCTTTTTTTAACAAGTTCGTCGGTATTCCGTCACTATATACCGACGGAATAACGACAAAATGTGGTTTATTTTAAAAAAAACACTAGTTCGTCGGAATATACCGACGATATTCAAAAAATATATAAATTTGGAAACCGAAACTATAAAAATAACACATAATAAGTGTTTTGTATTG